ACAGTTGGTTGACGTAGTGTGGTCAGAAACTACCACGAGGGCTTAAATTTATAGATTTAATATAGTAAATCATTTATCATTAATCTTCCTAAAAATACCCAAAATAATCGCCTTGCTTTGAACACACGCATCTCATCAGTTTGGCCATGTTTCTTTTACTGTAATAAGTTATCTTTTAATTTAAATATATTTTTAAACTTAAACACATTTTCCAATCACTCTTGCAAGTGAACAGGCACTCTGGCAGGGGCAGATGCCTCTGGGTTAGAGTCTCAGGCAGGACAGGAATTTGAAAAGCTAAGATAGGTTTCCCCAAAAGGGAACTCAGGGGCTCAGTGTACTTGGGGAAGCGCCCCAGGAGACACGCAGAAGTGTGCTCAAGGTGTTCATGGCCAAGGTGTTCTCTCCCAGGGGAGAAGAGCCCCCACAGTGCTGGGTGGGCGAACCCCGAGGAAGGCCTACCGGGAGCGCAGCAGGTGGGGCGCTGGGCACGGGCATCCCGAGCCCTGAGCCGGTGTGCAGGACAGCGGAGGTGGGCGCCAGCTGCCTCTGGGCCAGAGACCATGAGCTCCGAGGATTTGAGGTGCAACCCAGCCCAAGGATTGCGACTTCCTCGCCGCAGAGTTATCGTTGGCTTTCCCAGCACCTGCGGCAGGAGTGTCATCCACGTTTCTGTTGGCTCCGTGAATAAACAAGCTTAGTCAATGGGCAGCTAAAAAAGCAAGTCCCGGGGGGGATGTACTGGCCCCCAGGGACACGTGGGCGCCCAGATTCCCAGGCCCGTGACCCCTCTTCTGGGCGGCACCCACACAGAGCACTTCACCACCTCATCACCCACACACCTCCCCCGAGAGCATCTAGACGGGGAAGACCAGGCGTGCCCTGCGAAGTCGCGCCCGCCGCTGACCCCACCGCTATTGAAGCGCAGGCTCCTAAGCACGGTGAACGCCCCCAGCAGGACTCGTGCCTGCGGGCCGGGTCTCACGGACAGTAATTGTTTTCTTGCCTAATGTACTGTCCACACATACTGTGATGTGGCCGCGCCTTAGGTTTAATTAGATTTGGGGAGGCCTCGGGATTTATCAGAAGTGTGCTGTCCCTGGGGAGTCCTGGATGGAGCCGCTCAAGCTTGCAAACTGCGGAAGTGCACACATTAAAGAAACTCCATGGGCGTAGTCTGTGTCAAAATACACCAGTTAGAAGTAGAGAGGGAAAATCGCTTTTCGTTTCGTGGCTCAGAGCTCACAGGAGCATTTAGCTATTTCCGCGATCATTCCCACGCAAATTCAAGTTCCGGTGGCAGAACCTGGGTATTAAGGACACTGAGAGGCAGGAAGTGCTCGTTCAGACTGTTTCCTTTCCTCCCGGCAGTTCTTAACTGCGGCATCCTGGGACCAGCCACCCCATCCGTCTCCTCTCCCCCCACGAACCCGTTCCACCTGCAACGGGGACAGCTTCCAAGTCACAGGCCCGCAGGGGCCACATCGCACCACTGCTGCCCGGTGCGATCCTGTCCTCTGACCTCCTCTCAGCCTGCGCCGCTCCAGCCCACTCTGCTGTTCTTAGGCCACCCCCTCAGCCTATGTAATCCCTTGCCCCTGAGCACTGAGTGTGTCTTACTCCTCTTTATGCCACTGCCCTGTCATTTTCATTCATTCATTCATTCATTCATTCATTCATTTGTTCATTCATTCATTCATTCATTCATTCATTCCTTCAGCAAACATCTACCAGGCATCCACCAAGAGGCAGGCACACTGTGCTGTGGCAAAGGCAGCAGAGGGCACAACTACCAAGCGAAAGGGTAGAAGAGGAGGAAGCTGACAGTGCTGAGGGTGGGACTGAACGGGAGGTGGAGGAGGGGCACCAGCGCCACCACACGGAGCCGCAGGAAATCAACACTGGGCCTCCTTTCCTCTTCCCTCTAGGCTGTAGGGAGCAGACCCCGTGGACAGAGAGGCCACATGTCACGCCAGACACCGTGTGGGCCACCTGCCTGGGCCACCGTGTGAGGAAGGGGAAAAGGCTCCTAGATTTTTTCTCTCCTGCTAGGAGCAAGCAGACTGCCTCTGTCCAGGGCCCGGCATTGCCACGCCAGGAGCAGCCTCAGCATGACCCAGGGACAACATAGATCATCTCTTCTTTTCAGAGTCAGAAGACCCGGGCCTGGGTCCATCTGTCCAACCCAGAAACAAAACTGGGAACTTGAGCACAGCCCTCCTTGCCTGCAGGCTCTGTTTCTGATCACCCAAGCCCCACAACTCAGAATGCAGGAGTGAAGGAGGGATCAATGAGATCAGGCGTGGGAAATTCTTTTCGGATAAGTGTCCAAAAGAATGAGGGGCCCAAGTGAGAGAACTGAAACAAGGCCTCCCTGGAAGGACCTGTCACAAGCAGAGCTTCTCTGCAGCTGCCCTTTAATTTTAATTTTAGTTTTTTGGATGGCTGATGAGCCCTAGAGTAGAAAGTGCCCCTGGCCCCATGGGGTGGGCTACAGGATCTCTGAGGAGAGAGAGAGCAGGACCCAGGGCCCTCCCAAGTGTGCGCCCCTCCTGGACCAGCTTCTGCCTCAGTTTGGAGAGAAGTTACTGAAAGACGGAATCCAGACCTCACGCTGTGACTTGGAGAAAACTAGAAGAGAAGATGCCAACAGAGAGCCACCCGCCAGCTCCCTCCCTAGAGCAAAAGAAGCACACAGGGAAACTGAGTCACTGGGGTTGCTGCACCAAGAGTGGGTGGGCCACACTCTGACCCACCAGTGTCAAAGTGCTGATGGAGTCATCCACGGTGTTTCCCAAATCATGCCATGAGAGCCAGGAAGGGCACATTCCGCCCTGGCCCTCTCTGTCCTTGTCCATATTCAGGCTGTGGAGGGGCCTGGACACAAGCCCCTGGGCCACGCTTCAGGGCACCAAGTCGGCCACAGGACCAACTCAGAGTGACACAAATGTGTCCTGACACTGACCTACTCCACACGCCGGCCCCAGAAGGCTGGTCTTGTCACATTGCCATGTATGACCATGGTTCTCACACCTCTGGCTAGGTCCTTTGAGGGACAGAGTCCACCTTCTAGGGCTAAGTTCATGTCCACTCCACTCAAAGTCAGACTGTGAGCCCTGGACTCAGATGAGTCAACAGAGATGTTGTGTCAGCTGTCAAAGATGCCGGATAAGGAGCCAGCACTCAGGCTAGCAGGGCGACAGTGGATGGCCAATCTGAGTTGCTGCCTATTTGTTGGAACCCAAGGCTTACAGGCAGCATAGTGGGTGGTAACAGTGACAGCCCTGTAGAGCTGGATTTGGTCCTGGCTCTGTGGCTCTGTGGCTTGGGGTTGTTTGCTTGGTCCCTTAAAGATGGGAGGAGAGAGATGTGTACTGATCACAGGAGAGCTTCTCTCCACAGCTGAACAACCACGTTTCCCCCAAGAGATTGTGACCCGGATAGAGTACAAGCAGATCCTTGTGCTGTATGGAGGCCCTCAGGGGCTTTCTCCAATAGCACAGCAGTCTCTGGGTCTGCAGGAAGCTTTGCCATTGCCGGCCCCCCTCTGCCACCTCATCCCTTTCCTGACTGCCTCCTTCTGGTGTCCCGACAGGCTGACCCCTGCCCTTCCACACCCAGGACCTCTCTCTTCCAGTCCCCCACACTGCATGGTCTTTGCTGGATCTTCCTGAGCCACGTGGCACCGCCACCCCCAGGGAGCCTTGCGCTGGCCACTGCCAAAGTTGTGCTGAGTCTGCTCCCACCGTCATGCTGGAGCAGCCCTGGCCACTCCACAGTCCTTGGGTGCTGATGGAATGAACGGGCCCAGCTGAGCCATGCCCCACTCTGGCCTTTGTTCTTCCAGTGCTTAGGACATGTGCCTGGGAAGTCCCTTTCACCAACTGCCCTATCTTGTCTGGAAAAGGGCACAGAGCAGATCCGACTGGCAGAACCTCAGAGGTTCCCAGCCAAGAGCTAGTGCATCTGGAGTTTTGTACAGGTGGCTTGGGTTGCCATGGTGACTGAGAGATGATAAATGTCCTGCAGCAGCACAAGACAGTCTAGCACAATAAAGAATCGCTGCACCCCAATGGCAGTGCTGCTGCTGCTGCTGCTGCTGCTGCTGCTGCTGCTGCTGCTGCTGGGTAACTCTGAGAATAGGGAGCCACTGTGCGCCCAAGGAAGAGAAGTTAAGGAAGACAAAAGAACCAGTGAACAGCGCCTGTCCTCTTACAAGCAAGTAGTAGTAGAGAGAAGCCTGAGATGCAGAGGTCCAAGCTGTGACTCTGTGACTTGGTGGCTGAGTGACCTCAGACAAACCCAGCAACCTCTCTGGGCATCCATTTTCTCAACCAGGGATTTGATTGCCAATGCCCACCTGGCTCATTTATTCTGAGGATTAAACTGGGAGCCTTTCTAAAGAAATAAAATAAATAAATATAGCCTGGAAACATTCCTAATACCATAAAGAGATGATTCCCAATTTCCCATGGCTTGATGTATGTTTGGGTTTTACAGTGTTTGAAAATGGCAGGCCTCCCATACAGCACTCTGTTTTTGAACTTTTATCTTTTCCTGGGCTTGTGGTAGCCGGTGTCTCTCTGCAGGTGCCCAAGTCTGGGCTAAGGCCAGAACAGTCCATGGACAGTAAGCAAGGCTGAGCAGGTCAGGCATCTCCAATATGTGTGACTATGAAGTTTCCAACTTAGAGTTGGTTTCTCTGAGTTTCATTACAAACCCATTGTCCATGGTATCACATCTGTATTGCATTCCTTGTGCGTCCGATGTGTCCAATAGCACTCACTTTGTATTGAGGGGTGCGGAGACCCTAGAGAACCATGGGCATCCCCTCTGGATGGACCGTGGCCCAGGAATGCTTCTCACACCGCGCACATGGCTAAGGAAGGCCCTCACACAGGCTGGCTGGGTTTATGAGGGTCCATAGCTGGCTCGTGGGGAAGGACGTGAGGGCACAGTGTGTGCTTGGGGTGGCTGACTGTGCCGTGTGTCCCCGACAGGTGGCATTCCCTTCATCTTGACTGGAGAGTTATTCCAGCAGTCACAGCGGCCAGCCGCCTTCACCATTGCAGGCACAGTCAACTGGCTCTCCAATTTCGCCGTGGGGCTCCTCTTCCCATTCATCCAGGTAGGACGGGTGGGGGCTGTGCCGTCGCTGCCATGGGGGCACCTTGGAGGCCCCAGGGCAGAGCTCCTTCCCTTCGCTCCCCTCAGCCCCTGCTCTCTTCCTGAGGAAGGAATAAATGCCCTAGAAATGCCCCTTCTGCTCTAAGATTGTGTCCACAGAAACTGAGGTTGGATCTCAGATACTTCCTGCATACAATTTACTTCTCCTTTTTGTATTGCATTGGTTGAATTCTACATGATAATTGTAATGCACGCTACTGCCCCCTCATCACCCACGTGACCTCATTGTCACCAGCATAGATGTGACCAATGTGCTCACAGCTGCAAAGGTGACAGTGATTGGCACAAAGATGCCCACATACTCAGGAATCCAAATTCTTTTTGTGTAAAGAATCTGCTTGCGCACTGGCACATGGGCCTGTGTGTTTACTCAGTGCCAATTGTGTGCCAGGCCCTGCTGGGATCAGTGGGGACCAATGGGAGCAGAGCCTGTGTCCCATGTGCTAAGCTGAGGGGTGCGGAAGCAAAGATCCCAAGACTCAAGTACCATAGTAGATTTCTAACTGGTGGTCAACTTATCACACCCAGTTGAATTAAGCTAGCATGGTGCTGGGTGTGGGACGCCCACTGAGGCTCGTTGCCAGCGGCATAGAGGCAGGACAGGAGAAGCTGCTGGAACGCTGTTAGGATGCTGTTTGGAGAAGCTGTTGGAGCCGTTGGAGGCCGCTAGTTCTCTTGGGCTGTTCTGCTGGAGGCCCTGTCATGCTGGCTTTCCTGATAAACTTTAGAGGAGCTCTGGTCCTCATCTTGAGCATCGCTTCCTGACTCTGGAGGAGAAGATGGTGCGCATCTCAGCCTCATGGAGAAGCTTGTTGCACTGGCTTTCCTGATGGGAGCTCAGCTTTCCACATCGCTGGAGGAGCTTGAGACCTCACTGTTGCGAGGACGGCTGTGGTACCTTTGGGGAGCTCTGGCGCTTAGCTTGAGCGTTGCCTCCTAGCTCCAGTTCAGACCCCTCAGCCTGCTGGCACACATCCTGCACCCTGCTGGCATGGACTTCCTAGCTTCCACCACTGGCCTTTGGGCCCTTCCAGCACAGGTCGGTCAATCCAGCCTGCATGACACTTTAGTGCTCTAGGCCTCCACTTGGACTTGCAGGAGGCACTGTTGTGAACTCAAGGTTTTCATCCAGACTCATGCAGGATATTAGCATCCAGGCCCTCAGCTGGATTGTTTAGTATTTAGTGTTTGAATAGATTTCCTGCACTTGTTGTGTACGATTCTTGGGTTATTAATTATAAAATAATATAATAAAATGTGTCCTGTATTATATCTTCCCCTTGCAAAAACCCCAAAGCACAACCTCCATCTCCATCCTGCCAAGGCTGGGGGTGAGCGGCACTGACCTGCCAGTGTTCCCCTCATGTTTATTAGGCACTTTCTGTGCGCCAGCAATACCCAACCCTGTCGATGCTAGGCAGGAAATCCCCCATCAGTCCCCTTGCCAGAGGAGCGGTGAGCAGCAGCTGGAGCCCAACATCTGGCTGCAGAGCGGGTCAGGGCCTGCCCTGGGTGCAGACTGGGAGAGGAGCCTAGGGGGCTGGGACCTCGTGGGCTCTGAGGTGCTCAAGACAGCAAGGTGGACCTGAGGGCTGAGGGGTGAGGAGCATGCGCTTCCCGTGGCTGCTGTACCCAGCAAGACAGGCTTAGCGCTGTGGTTCGATGTGGTGTGTTCCCTCCAGAGCCCTGCTGGAGTCCAGTGCCCAGAGTGGGAACGTTGACAGACTGTGCAGTGTTCCCCACATACTTGGGTCAGGGATTCGTGCTGTTCTTCTCCCAGGAGGAATGTGGCTCCCTCGAGAGCAGGAGGTCGTGACAGTGATCAGCTTCCCCAGCTCTCGCTGGCTTCCTCTCTGCCATCCTGTCCGCCTTCCCACTGTTAGGTCGCTGCCCAAAGCCCTTGCCAGCAGCCAAGAGGATGCAGGCACCTTGCGCCTGGGGCAGGGCGCTGCTTCCCGCCCAGGCTCCAGGAGAGGATCTGTGTTCTGGCCGCTTGCGCTTCCGACTACACTCCTTGCCTCACTTGGCTTGGCTCCTCACTCCCTCTTCAGTGCCAGCAAGCACCTGCCTCAGTGGTCACGTCGCCTTTTGCTTCTGTGTCAGGTCTCCCCATTGCTCCCTTTTCAGCCAAATGCGGGCAAGTAGAGCCCACCTGGTCACCCCACGCACTCCTCCCAGAGCAGTGACCTAATCATACTTGCACAATCTCTTTGGACAAATAAGGCAACTGTCACAGTCACATTCTCATTGCTGGGACACAGTACCTGCCACCACCTAAGGGAAGAGAGACTGATTTTGGCCAGCAAACACAGAAATGGTGTGGTGCGAGGGCCTGGCGGAGGAGAGCAGCTCACATCATAGTGCCCAGGAAGCGCACAGAGCAGGGAGGAGCCAGGGAGCGAGCTCCACCCCTCCAGGCCACACCCCTGTGGCTGCCTCTGCCAATCAGATCCCACCTCCTAAGAGCAAGTCAGCTACAAGGCTTCCATGATCCAATGTCCCTCCAAAAACCCCGCCTGTGAGCACACAAGGCATTTGGAAGACATTCTCAAGCTACGCCACGACAGCGATTTTCATAGAATACCAGGGCTGGGTGTCTTTGGGGACCACTAGATAGCTGCTTACAGAGTGTGGTGATTTGAGGCTGCCTAGAAGCTGGTGCCGTGACTCTTGCCCCCAGATGAGCACAAGGTGGCCTGTGACTGCCAGAAGTCTGGAGTGACAGTTGTCCTAACTCAGTCCCTCTACAAATTGTCATTGCGTGCCTGGCTGTCACAGGAGGTATTCACTATTTCTTCAGTGAATGTTCTTGTGGGGTTGGAATGGCCTGCTGAGGGATTTTCATTTGATCCTGTAGGCCAGAGTCTTTCAGCCCTGAGGGTGCGTGAGATTCACTTGGGGACTTTAAGATACACGATTAATGCCTGGCATCCTCCGTTCCCATCACAAGATTCTGAGTCAAGGGGCAGGGGTGGGTTTCAGCACACTTTACAGCTCGGCAGCTGACCCCATGTGCAGTGCACTGAGAACCCACAGATACTTGGGAAGCAAGAAGGGCAGGACTGATGGGGGAACTTCAAGAAGACCCTTCCATGCCGGAGGCTGGGTTGGAGCAGGTCGTGAGCAGGGACATCCTGCAGTGCGCAGAGATGGGGACAAGGCCTAGCTAAGGTCAGCAGCCGTGAAGGGACCTGTCACGAGCAGGAAATGGTGGGTGGCCAGGAGGCGAGCTTGGGCGTGGCCAGGCTGGGCCCAGATCTCAGCCCTCGTGGGGCAGACGGGCCCCCTGGCCATGCCCTGGCCTCTGCGCGCATGACCCAGCATCAGCTCGTCTGCCCCCAAGCTGAGCTCGTGACTCAGAGCCCTCTGAACTGGTCCGTGGAAAGATTGCCACACTTAAGTGAGGCCCTGCGTCATCCAGAAGAGCAATGGGGACTTCACCAGCAAGCACAGGCTCTGGGAGAAGTCCCAGCTGCCTGCCCCATCTCTTCCACGAGCCTGGCTGTCTCTGTCCAGTGTGTTGGCCTGCATTTGCACAGCTGTCCCACCGAGCAGACACAGCATCTGGCAGCTGGCTCCCAGGAGGGTGGACGTGGATGTGACACGTGTAGCGGGCAGCAGCCCTGCTGCAGGGGCCTTCCAAAAGATCAGCCCCTGCTTGCATCCTTTCCTCGGCGAGGGTCCTTTGCAGGTCAGCCAGCTCTCAATGTGCTTATGCTTTGAACCTTTTCATAAGCAGAGACTTGCTTTGTTTATTTATATGTGTATTTGATGAGGGGGCTGGTGACAGAACAAGAGGTGCTCAAGCCCAGAGGTATTATACCTCCAGCCTGCTTTTAAACTTTAAAAGGAAAGAAGAGGGCAGAGGGTATATAACTCAAGGGTAGAACACATTCCTAGCATGAGCGAAGTCCTGGGGTCAATGCCTAACACAGCAGAATAGGTAGATAGATGACATTTAGGTGACAGACAGATGTAAGTAGATGCACAGACACCTCCGTAGAGGGCACAGAGAACAGAGTGACTCAAACAGATGTGCCACACACCTAGAATCTGTCCTGCCTCAGCAGGAGACATTGCAGGGCAAAAGGAATGAGTGAGGACTGAGGATAAGAAGAGAACAACACGGGCCAGTGAGATAGCTCAATGGACTAAAGCACCTGCTTGGGCAAGCTTAGGTAAGCACAGGGACTGTAGTTCAATCCCCAGCACCACATGCCATACCAGCCCCGCCCCCAAGGCAGGCTGAGCCAGCCAGAGTCCAGGCGTGGTGGCACCTGCCTATAATCCCCAGCACTGGGGAAGCCAAAAACAAGAGGATCACTATGAGTCCAATCTGCGTAGTGAGACCCTATAACAACTAAATACATGACGAAAGAAGAGGAAGAAGGAGGAGGGGGAGGGAGGGGGGAGAGGGAAGAAGAGGAAGAGAGGAGGAGGAAGAGGAGGAGGAAGAGGAGGAGGAGGAGGAGGAGAAGACAGAGGAGGAGGAGGAGGAGGAGGAGGAGGAGGAGGAGGAGGAGACCCACCATGTCATTATCCCAGCAACATTTATACCTTATAGGAGTCTTTTGTGTCAAATGCCATTCCAGATTGAGCTGTATGAATCCTGACAACCCTGGCAGGGCTCGTTCATTCGGTCCCTGCAAGAGGTCTCCAGTCGCTGGGACGAAATGCCCAATGCCTGCAACACTGGAAGGAGGAGAGGTCTCTCCTGGCTCGAAGCCCCAGTCCACCAGCAGCCAGCTGAAAAGCAGAAACAAGCTGGCAGAGGACCTGGCAGAGAGAACAGTGGCCCACCCACGGTGGCCAGGGAGCAGGGGGACAAAGACACACCCTCTGGTCATCATACCCCAGTGACCCCCTCCAGCCAGGCTCCAGCTCTAGGGCAGTCAGCGACCAAATGCCCCGGTGAGGAGCCACTGATAGCGGCAGCTCCCA